TTTCACTATATGCTAACTAATTTGGATGTAAATTTTTAAAAATATAAAAAGAAAATTAAAATTTTTTTAAAAAGTAAGGGTATATGATCTCAGATTTAGAAGTCTTAAAAATATAAAACATTAATCCCTTTAATGATTTAGAAAATTGTTTGCTTACTTATTCAATAGATAATGAGCACCTAGGTATATAGACAGTCCCTGTCTTCAAAGACCTTCTAGCGGGAACAAGTAAAACACGAACATATTATTTCTAGTATTAAAGTTACAGATACCTTCATAGATTACAGTGTGGTAGGGTGTTGAGGAATTACGAACGTGTTTTTGCTACATAGCCATGACCTGAGTTTCCACCTTCATTCACACTCATCCACCCTTCTTTACCCATCTGTACTATTCCCTGAACACATATTGACTGAGCCTTTAGTCATGCTGCTGAGCCTTCACTTGTGCTATTTCTTTGAAAATATTCTTCTCCCTAGCCCATCTGGGAGTTCCTATAGAGAGGTGACCCCACCTTTCTGAAGCCTTCCATGACTCCTTCAAATCTCCCATCAGAATCAGTTCATCCTACACTGTTACACTTACTTGTCTGTATGCTTATATTTCTTGCTGGTTAGGGACTCTGTCATATTCTTTGTCTTTAGAGTGTAGGGCAATGTATGATCGTATAGAACTAATATTTAAAGTGAATGTTGGAGGAATGATCTTTACAACTTAGATCAGAAGAGGCTTCCTAGAGGAGGTAACATTTGATCTCAAACCTTGAAGGATAGATGCATTCTGGATTTGGGAGACTGGGGTTGAGGGAGGACGGCACATCAGGAGTAAAAGTTGGTATAAAGAGACCCTGAGGTTATAAATCAAATCACAAATAATCCACTTTAACTAGGAGATATTATGTGTAGAAGGAGCAGTGGGAAGTCCAAAAAAGATCCACCCAGAACACTTGGAAGTGCAGGATGGGAGTTCCAGGGAGAGTGTAAGCCGAGGAATCTTGCTTTGGAAAATTTTCACTTAGAGGTACAGTAGTGTCCTGTGGGAAAGGAATGTTCACAGGAACATCACTGTGTGTATGCCCCAGTGTTGACTCTCATTAAAAAAGAAAGTGAGGTATGTATGATATGAATATTCATATCACCTAATAGTATACTTGATAAAGTGAATTTTGTCCTTTTAGGAGGACACTGCATGCCAGACTTCAGATTGGGCCTGGAGATAGTAGTGAGTCATCTGAGTTACAGCTGACCAATTTCTGCTTACTGGTGGATTTTTTGTTGGATATAGTTTCTTTGGTAAGACGACCTTGGTAAAAAAAAGTATTGAGGAATGTAATAACATAGTTCAGATATTTTCATGTTGGAGACCTCATCCTTAAATAAATTTCATCTTTAAAGTTAAATTGATTACTTTTCCTTTTGGCATAGCTTTTTTTTTTCTTAAACTTTTCCAAATGTTTTTCCTCAGACATATATAATACATATATAAGTTTTATGTGATGTGTGGAATATACGTCATAATTGCTTGTTATTGTAGTCTTAGATGTTTAGTGTATAGTGGTCTAATACTGCATTTGTGCTCACTGAAGACTGTTGGAAACCTTTTCTCCTTTTCTCTCCTCAAATCTTTGCTTTCTCATTTTGAAGCCTACTAGAAGTATGAGGGTGTTGTGTCAGGTATGACATTCAGCCTATTTTGTCTTTAACTGGTTGCATTCACATTTTTTGTATTATTATTTTGGTAAATTAGATAAAACTGGGATTATTTTATAATATATACCTTGAGGTACATAAATTGAGAATTTGGGAATAGAAATTTTGTAAATCGGTAATAAAATGACCATACCATATTAATTAAGTGCATGATACCTATATAATATTACAGATGAGTAAAATTATTTGTGTTGTATAGATTAAAAATAAATAGGGTTATACATTATATAAATTTTTGTCATTTTGCTTTCATCTTCAGGAGACTTATATTGAAATCCAGACTGAACACTTGCCCCAGTTGCTCCTCAGGATGATTTCTGCCCTGACAAGCCATCTCCAGACATTACACTTGTCTGAACTCACAGATTCACTCAGGCTCTGCTCAAAGATCCTTAGCAAGGTGCAACCTCCACTCTTGTCTGCCAGCACTGGAGGTGTGTTGCAGTTTTCAAGTGGGCAGAACAACTCAGTCAAAGAATGGGAAGACAAAAAGGTAGTGTTTGCTCTTATTTTTGTTACTAGACCAATTACGTTTCTTCAGAGCAGAATAGTTTATACATACTCATTTAAATATTAGCGAACGATGGGGCACCAGGGTGGCTCAGTCTGTTAAGCGCCCAACGCTTGGTTTCGGCTCAGATCATGATCACATCATTTGTGACTTTGAGCCCTACATCGGACTCTGTGCTAACAACACGGAACCAGCCTGGTATTCTCTCTCTCCCCCTCTCTCTGCCCCTCCTCTGCACTCTCTGTCTCTCAAATAAAATTAAAAAAAAATTTTTTTTTAAATATTAGTGAATATTTTCTAGACCTAAATGTTGTGGCAGTAGACAGTCTTGTAGGCTTTTGGCAATTTTAACGGTCTTTATCAGCTCTCCACTGGAAGTATAATGCAAGTAGCATATGTAATTTTTAATTTCCCAGTAGCCACATTAAAAAATAGAAACAGGTGAAAATATTTTAATTATATTTTATTTAGCCCAATATAGCTAATAATCATTTTAACCCTATAACCAACACAAAATTGATGTAATATTTAAAGGGTGAGATATTTTACATTCTTTTTTGTACTAAGTCTTCAAAATTCCAGTGTGTATTTTATACTTAACAGCATTGAAAATTAAAATTTTTATCAGAAATACTTGATGTATATTTTTTATAAAGTTTATATTTGAAAAATTAGATTTACATATCCAAATTGTCCTAAACATATTTAAAAGTTTTATCATAACTAAATTAGGTATTAACTTTTAATTGAAAAAATTTAGTTCATCTGTTCAGATCAGCCATAATACAAGAGCTCAGTAGCCACATGTGACTAGTAGCTATAGCTACCATACTGGACAGCAGGTTTATAATCTAAACTTTAGTGGTCCTTTTCATATATACACTAATTTGATGTGCTCTTCTTGAAATCCAGAATCTTTTTTACTCTCCTCAGTCTTCCAGATTTTTAATGCTTTATGATGTTGAATAAAATTACAGTAATTTTAATGTCTGGCCAAGTAGCATACTTAAAATACCTGTGATACACTTATGGAAAAAAACACCTATATAATTCCATTGAATTTAGCCATTGTGGTACTATGTTAAAACAAGAATTTAAAATTTTCTAGTATTTTGAGTTCATTACCTAAATCCTGGGTTTGTATTGTTGCCCTTACTTTTTTTTTTCTAGTTGCTTCCCCCGCCCCCAGCCAGGCAAAATGTTTTATCATCAGGATAGTCTAATACAACCTTTCCCATCAAGTATTAACCCTAAAACGTTTTTGTTGGACTTTTTAAATATTTTGCTCTTCATGTATGAAATGAATGTGACTGGCCCGTGATCAATTTAAATATATCCCAGGATTATCAGGCATAAACTAAAACCAATCTCTTAACTTTCCTTCCTATCTGCTTGTTATTTATATGTGATATATATTGATTCTGTTGTAGGAAAATTCATTTTGTTCTGCTAGTTTTCTTTAATATATACTTCTAGGATCTTCGAAATTAAACTAAAATAGTTACTAATTGCTTTTTTGTTGTTGTTGAGTGAAATTCATTCAAGTAAAGGAGGACCTTAGCATTCTCTTGATAGCATATTCAAATATGTGAATATTAACTATGTCGAAAACAAGTGGAGGCACTTATTGATGGTTACAGGTTAAGGTAAATAGGAATATCCATTCATATTAAATAAAGGACAAATAATATACTTTTGTTTTTGTTTTTGTTTTGTTTTGAGAGAGAGAGAGAGGGCACAAGTGAGCAAGGGGCACAGAGGGGGAAAGAGAAGCAGAGCTCACCCAGGGCTCGTACTTTTTTTTTTTTTTTTTAACGTAATGGTATGTTAACCTGGGAGTATGCTTTTCCCTCTCTCTTTGGTTGTCTTCTATATTCTTGGGCCATATATGTTCTTTCCTATTTTTTACGGAAGCACAATGGTTATTATCTTCACTGAAGTGTCTAAAATTTATCATATTTGAAAGCTGAGGGTATTTTCTTTATTTCTTTTTATTTAAAGTGTAAGTGAAACAATAATTCATTAAAAATGAATCTATTTTTGTCTCCGTGCACTTAGTACACTTTTGTAAGTATTGGATCTCTATACCCCTATGTCCAAAATATGGCATGTCTTTCTCTCTTCAGAAAGACATTTTACTATAAAATAATCTAAAACATAGTTATATGATATAGACCATGCAACTAAATATTATAAATGTATATAAGTTTAACTGAATTTGTAGCTTAAATTCTATTAATAAATGTCCGTTGTTTTACGATCCTTATGTGAAAAAGATCAATACAGAAATAGCAATAAGCTAATGACAATTTTATCATTTAAATAGGACTTCTTTTTAAAAATGTATTAGTACAAGGTTTTAGATGGTTGTTAAAGGTTGACAGTTCAGTTCAGATACCTGCCTGTAAACTTTGTCATTATAATATGAAAAGTTCTCATAATAGTGATAGGCTATGAAAAAAATATCATGAAGTTTAGAATCACCTAAGCTAAGCTTTCCTAACAACTTTTAACCTTATTTGCTGTATAACCTTGGGCAAGTTTTGTTTTTAACATCCCTGAGCCCTCAGTATTCTTAGCTTTGAAATAGAGAAAACAGCCTCTCTTTATCCAGCATGCACTCTGCATAGCCAGTGATCCAGTGGTGAAGTTGGCACAGTCCCTGCCTTCCTGACCCGTTTTTGCTAGTTGGGAGACACATATTAAACAAATAATTGCACACTTAATTACAGTCATGATAAATAAATGAAGGAGAATATAGAGTGGTAGGAATGTGGAAAATGCAGTGATGTGACCTAGACTGTGGGCCTAAAAGGCTTTCTTGAGGAAGGGTTGTTTGCGTAAAGCCCTAGAGAAACTGGGGTGGAATGAGGTAGAAAGGAGAGAGCGCTTGGGAGAGGAAGAAATATTCCCCAAGGCTCTTGGGCAGAAAGGAACACTGTGCACACAGTGAGGGAGAGATAAGTCTTCAGGTAGGCAGGGACCAGGTAATGCAGAGCCTTTTCACTCTAGCGGGGCTTTTATTCTTTATCTTAGGAGCAGTGGGAAGACACTGAAGGGTAGAAGCAAGCAACATAATAAGACTTCTATAAGAGATAAATTACTTTGCAGTATGGAGCATGGATCTCAGAAACAAAGTGGATGTGGGGAGACCTGCAGTAGTGCAGGTGAGAGGTGGTGGTAATGTGCTGACAAGATGCGGGAGTGAACACACAGGAATGGATGGATTAGCCAGACATTTAAGAGAAAAATTCAGGGTGCCTGGGTGGCTCAGTTGGTTAAGCAGTTAAGCATCCTACTCTTGATTTCAGCTCAGGTCATGGTCTCACAGTTCGTGAGATCAAGCCCCACATCAGGCTCCTCACTAGGCTTGGAGACTGCTTAAGATTCTTTCTCCGCCCCTCCCTGCTCACTTGTGTGCATGTGCGCTCTCTTTCTCTCTCTCTCAAAATAAATTAAAAAAAAAAAATCAGACCTAGTAATAGTTTGATAAGGGTAATAAGTGATCACAAACATTTTTTGAATGTTTATTTACAAACTGGCAGGTACTAGGGGCGACTGGGTGGCTCAGTCGGTTGAGCGGCCAACTTTGGCTCAGGTCATGATCTCGTAGTCCGTGAGTTCGAGCCCCGCATCGGGCTCTGTGCTGACAGCTCAGAGCCTGGAGCCTGTTTCAGATTCTGTGTCTCCCTCTCTCTGACCCTCCCCCGTTCATGCTCTGTCTCTCTCTGTCTCAAAAATAAATAAACGTTAAAAAAAAATCAAACTGGCAGGTATTAAACCACATGCTTTAGATATACTGTTTTACTTAATTCTCATAGCAACTGTAAAATGTAGGAACTATTGTTATCTCCATTATACTTATCAGGAAACTGAGGTTTTAGAGAGGTTAAATAACTTGCCAAGCTAGTAAGTGGCTGAACCTTAGTTGACTCATGGCCAGTACTCTTAACCACTATTCTGAAGTGGATGTAGGGGAAGTGCCAAGGAAAGATGGAGAAGATCCCAGGGATCACCCCTAGATTTCCGTCTTCTGATTTGATGAATGGTGATGTCATTTACTGAAGCAAGGAACAGTGGGTGAGGCCCAGTTTTGTAGCAGCAGAACAATTAGTTTGTATCTTCTGTAATCTTCAATAATATCCCTTTTTAGTCACTAAAAAGTAATCTCATTCAAGTTCACATTATGCTCTGGCAAAGTCCCCAAGCAATTCATGATATGTACAACTTTTGTTTCCTTAAACTAAACCCAAAAATATGTTTGATGATTGTACTTATCCAGTCTTTGTAGGAAGGGGACGATTAATTCATTCCAGCTCTATTCCAGTACCTGGTCCATTTTTGTTTATATTATAACTTACTGTCTTTTCCCTTAGATTACAAACTATCTTTTTGTTCCTGGTATACAATACAGTGTCTGCCATGTAACATAGGTTCAGTAACTGTTAAAAGAATGTAAGATTAATGGTAACCATTTAAATAGCATTTTACACATTTCACATAGAAATTTCACATTCATGATTATTGAACAGATGACCTATTCGAATTTATTTCTAGTTTTTAAAATGTCTCATTCCTTGCCTCATTTAGACATTAGGAAAGTGATTTCGTGAAGCAGATTGAATAAATTGTCAGTTGTTTGAAAATAGGGATATAGATGTTAGAGATTTGTGCTATATGCATATTTTGCCTTCAAAAACCAAATCTTTGCATACAGCAAATAATTCTTAATGAATGAGTTTATTTTTAATGTTTTAATTTTGTTTTTGAGAGAGCACAAGCTGGGGAGGGTCAGAGAGAGAGGGAGACAGAGGATCTGAAGCAGGCTCTGCACTGTCAGCACAGATGAGGGGCCCAAACTCATGAACCATGAGATAGTGACCTCAGCTGAAGTCAGATGCTTAACTGACTGAGCCACCCTGGTGCCCTGAGTTTATTTTAATATATTCATTAGAACTGTACCAGTATTCCCTATTGATTATCATAGAAATATGAATCAGTTGTAGAAACTGCTCTAAGATTCAGCTGAACGTGTAGATTAAGTTTTGAATCATGTAATCTAAACTGACTTCTCTCAATGTGGCCATTTCTAATTTTTGATTTCTAATATATGCATTTAATCACTTAGCCTTTGCTGTTTTTAATCACTACCAGGTATCATCAGTGTCTCTTGAAAATCCTACTGAAGTATTTGAAGATGGAGAAAACCCACCAAGCAGTCGATCATCAGAGAGTGGATTTACTGAGTTTATACAGTATCAAGCAGACCGAAGTGATGATATCGACAGAGACCTGAGTGAGGGGCAGGGGACAGCTGCCATTCCCATCGGTAGCACATCCTCTGAGACCGAAACGGCCTCCACCGTAGGATCTGAAGAAACCATCATCCAGGCCCCTTCCATAGTCACCCAGGGGACAGCACCCCGAAGTGGGAAGACAGCCCAAAAAACTGCAATGCAATGTTGCTTGGAGTATGTCCAGCAGTTTCTCACTAGACTTATCAACCTCTACATCATTCAGGGCAACTCTTTTTCTCAGGCTTTGGCTACAGAGCATTCAGGGGATCTCAGTAGAGAGCAAGAAGAGACTTCAAAATGGGATAGGGATTCCCATGGAGATGTAAAGGAGAGAAACATAAGTAAACAGAAAACTTCAAAAGAATACCTTTCCGCCTTCCTTTCTGCCTGCCAGCTCTTCCTGGAGTGCTCCAGTTTCCCAGTTTACATTGCTGAGGGGAACCATACTTCAGACCTACATTCTGAGAAGTCTGAGACTGGTAAGGTCATCTTGGTTTTATTTATATTTGAATCTTTTTTATAGCATGCTTTTTATTTACTTTTTTTTTTTAAAGCACTCAGAATTAAAACTAAGATTTTTTTTGGCCAGTTAATTTTTTAAAGTGTTACTTTAATTTGTAGATTTTTAAAAATTATTTATTATTTTGAGAGAGCGCAAAAGTAGGGGAGGGACAGAGAGAGAGAGAGAATCTCAGGCAGGCTCTGCATGATAGGTGCAGTGCCCAATGCAGGGCTTGAACTCACGAACTCTGAGATCATGACCTAAGCTGAATTCAGATGCTTGACTTGACTGTACCACCCCTAATTTTTTTAGGCACCCCTAGTATTTTTAATGAAATATTGTCTTTATGGGGAGATAATACATGTTGGCATATTGGAAAATTTTGTGATTTTGATGTCTTTCACAGTGTACTTACAAGTGAGTTGAAGGTAAGAAGGAAATTAACTTCTTTCTCTGGAGAAAAGTAACATATCATTTAGATCCATTGGTTTCCTTTATTAAGACTAATATCGTAAGTGTTTACCATTATTTAAATTTTTATATATGCACACAGAGTGCAGTGAGTGAGTACTAATATCTGTTGATTAATATACTGTTTTTTAGGACAAGGGAATACATTGTATTATGTGGCATAAGAAAATTACATACTAAAAAAGTTTATGGGATTCTTGTTGCTGCTTTATTTTCTTAAAGCTCCAGTCTAGGTGAGAAACCTTGGTTTTACTAACAGATCAAGGCCTAAAGGTGTTGAGAAGAGGTGCTTTGTTTTGGAGTGTACCTGGACGTTGGTGTATGTGTGAAAGGTTTAGTGTGATGAACTCCATCTTCCATCTTTTGTTTCAGACTGGGAGCACGTGCAGCCTCCGCTGTGGCTCCAGACCCTGATGAACGCTTGCAGCCAAGCAAGCGATTTCAGTGTGCAGAGTGTTGCTATTTCATTAGTCATGGACCTGGTGGGACTGACTCAGTCTGTGGCCATGGTCACTGGGGAGAACATCAACAGTGTGGAGCCTGCACAGCCCTTAAGTCCAAACCAGGGAAGAGTGGCGGTAGTTATTAGACCTCCCCTCACTCCAGGCAATCTGAGATACATTGCTGAGAAGACTGAATTTTTCAAGGTAAATTCTGAGGAATACATGCATGACTAAGGTGGTACTTGACTTAGATTGCTTAGCAGAGATCTGAAAGATGATAATCAGGCTTCGTTGAATACCTGTTAATATTATAATGTCTAGAAAAAGATACCACACTTCATCTGTACTGCTTTGCCAATCTTGTCCCCAGTTTTGCTAGAGGGAAAAAGGATGAGAGGAGATGAGGATGAGGTTAGGGAAGGCAAGTATTAAGGCTCCAAAGCCACAGAAGGAGTAATTTCAGCTAAAAAAGAGGTTAAGTCCATTTATACAATAAAACTTATTTCAACATGACGTGCTTATGACACTTTTGCTTTTCGTAGAGTATAATCTCAGCTCTCCAAAACTCCCAGGAAAAATTTTTCTGACTCTGTATTGTTTGATTATCATCTGTGGTATATGATGCCATTCAGAGAAAAAAAAAAATGTACAGTTTTTGATTTTTATCACAGCAGTATAGATGATACCCTCTACATAGAAAGAACATTAAGTATATTGGATTGTATTACATCTGAGGCAGGTAGATGCTTTATATATAAAAAAAAAAAAATTGCTTTAATTTTATCTCAATTCAAGTCATTGTGCCCCACCAGATAGTTCTTTCTGCTAAAGTTGGTTTCTGTAAGAACGGTATGACAGTAAACCCTGAAAATGGTTATGTTTTTATTAATGCTGTCATAGATCATCAAGTGCTTTGTTAACACGTGTAGCTCTAAAATACATACAACCTATTTTATATAAGCTTAAGTAATTTGGATATTTGAACTGTAAATTATATTTTACTTTGTAACATATAACCATAAATATTGTATTCAATGTGAGATTTGTATTCTCTTAAGGATAATGTATTCTAGCAGCACTTTACTAAGTGTCACTAAAATAGTGAAGTGGGGTCTTCTCTGGGCCCTGCAGAAAATTCTTCCATGTTTGATGTTTAAAATAAGTATCATTAGGGAGGGATCTTAAAAGAATAAAAATAATCATTAAAGGTCTATCATAAGAGGTTCTAACGACCTCGATGCCCAAAAAGTGAGCACATGGAAAGCTATACTTTTAAGTCTTATCCTTGTAGCATAAGGAACATTGAAGACCTTCAATGGCATTCAGAGGCTTGTTTGTACCTAACAGGAAATGCTTATTAAATAAGTTTCAATGTGTGGTTTGGTAACACTGTCACTTTGACAATCTTTTTCTGTAGCATGTAGCTTTAACATTGTGGGATCAGCTGGGAGATAGGACACCTCAGCACCATCAGAAAAGTGTGGAACTGTTTTATCAACTACATAACTTGGTTCCTTCTTCTAGCATCTGTGAGGATGTTATAAGTCAGCAGTTAACCCATAAAGATAAGGTAAATTCTTTTTTCATCTTGACCCACCCCCACCTACCCAACTCCCATTATACCAAAAGGTAAATTAAAGAAACTGTAGGAAAATTATTGTAGCTAGTATCTGATTAGAGATTGTGTAAATTCATTCGTAGAGTATATGGTCTTCATATATTTAAAACAAATTTGTTCTGTCCTTTTTAATTTAATTTAATTTAATTTTATCTTATCTTATTTCTTTTTATTTTATTTTTTTGAGAGAGTGCGCACACCCAAGTGGGGTGGGACAGAGGGAAAGAGAGAATCTTAAGCAGGCTCCATGCCCAGTATAGAGCCCAATGTGGGGCTCGGTCCCACAACCCTGAGTCATTACCTGAGCAGAAATCACTAGTTACATGCTCATCCTACTGAGCCACATAGGCACCCCATTCTGTCCTTTAGAAGAAAGTTCTTTGCAAAAGCATCAGTAATATGAAAAATCTAGTAACCCAAAATCAAATACTAGGTTTATTTCTTGGTTCAGGACACCATCTGTAGGCAGTGATGATTAAAGTTGTTGCTGGTCCAAGTTCTTAGACCATTTAAAGAGGAAGCAGTAGCCTTGGTTATGGAACTATGCATACATTAACTGATGTATGTGAAATGATGTATATGTGAAGTTACATTTATAAGCCATAGAATGCTAATATATGAGATTATATTATTTGTATTATAGTATCCAAAATAAGGATTTTGTATCCCAATGTACATGAAATGGTCGATAAGTCAGTGAGAGTAAAGGTGATAGACTCATTGGTATGCCTGAGAAGCTGGAACTTTCAATCTGGTTGATCTCTTTGGGAAAGTTTAATGAAGTGTGTGATCTTCCCATGCCTTCTCTGTAACATAAATCAAAGATTTTATTGAACAGCTTTTAGAGGTGTATCACCCTAATTTTTAAGAACTCTAAATGCAAGTGAGTTTGAGTCATTCAGAAAGGCATAGTGTTAAGTAAATGAAGCTTTTGTCCAGGAAGGAAGTGGCAAATGAAGGAGAAAACGAGGGGCATGAAAGTTTATTGCAAGAAAAATGTTAAAATTCTGTTTCTGCTTCAACACATTTTCTCAAAAATTTTTAGGAATAAAATGTTTAATAAAGACTTGCATTTAATTTGTTTACATTAAGTGTAAATCTAGGACAAATTATATACCTATTGTGTAACATTTCTAAAGGAATACTAACTTCTGAATAAAGGTATTATACCATGAAAAAAAATTAAGATACTATTACTTTTTAATATGTTGATGTATAAACATGGACTTCATAGGAAAAGCATGTATTACACCTGTAGAAAAAAAGGAAGCTCCCCTCAAAGTGATCACAAACAATTGAGACCGTTACAGTCCCTGATTTTGGAGGGCTTTTACTTGACGAATTCTACAGATGCTACAGGAACACTATGAAAAGCTTGATAACTTCACAGTTTCTACCTGATTTATATTCATTTATGTTCATTATCTAACACCAAGTGCTGGTCTTTCTAAATCATTTATTTTTCCATTATTCTGTCCATTGTTACCATAACACTTAACATTTTCCAAATAATCTCAAAATGATGTTTTTCTTATAGAAGTAATTTTTTAGGTGTCTAAATTTTTGAATCTAATAAGCCAGCTTTATAAGTAGTGATCAATTCATTTGAGATAATATATAATTTCTGGGAACAAAAGTAAATTGTAGGGTATAATAAAATAAATTTTGACTACTAAGTATTTTTATTAAAATAAGGGAAAAATGCTTCCGAGACTGAAGATATTATAATATGCACATTATTAGCTCTTTCCATCCCCGTTACATAATAATCTAGAAAACTGGTTACCTAGTCTAAACTAAATAATAACGATTTCTGAGGTAGTGTGAGATGACTTTTTAGGTTTAATATTTCTAAGTTGTTTTTTTTTTTTACATTTCTACTTTCATAAAAATAGTTTTATTGTGTGGTGTATTGAGTACTGTGAACATCGAACCTAATACTGTCTCTTAAATTGCTATTTTGATTTTGATAAAATCGCTTAATATCTTCAAGGGAGAAAAAAATAATTTCATCTCCCATATTCCTCCTCAGAAAATAAGGATGGAAGCACATGCAAAGTTTGCAGTTCTTTGGCATCTGACAAGGGATCTCCATATAAATAAGTCGTCATCTTTTGCACGTTCTTTTGACAGGTTGGTTACATTTGATACTCGGATTTTACAGCCAGGTATTTCAGTGTCTCTTTTCTTGAATCCTCTGCCTAATTTGGCAGGGGTGCAAGATAGTAATTTACAGATATTATGAAGAGAGCTTATAAATTATTTTTTAAAAAATCTAAGCTATATTAAAATGCATGGCTTTGAAGCACCCAGATCCCCTTTCTTTTACTGGATGACTATTCAACAAGACCCCTGCTATGTGCCAGGCAGCATTCTAGGTGTCAGGGATACAGCAATGGGTCTGTATTCACAGAGAAATTTCAACATAAACAGTACATGATGTAACTGTTTCTCTAACAGTTATTTTCAGTCTTCTGCCTGAACTGGACATCATAAGTCTAAAGCTAAAATATACACCCCTTCCATGGATTCAGAGAACCTGCAGCTGCCTGAGAGTAGTTTTGCTACTTGTCTACACCACTCGAGATGACTCATCCCCCAAATATGAGGTTTGCCTTAACTTCCAAGGAGATGCTATGTATAGGTAGACTGAGATACTGGCCCAGGATAGCAGTCTCACCACCATAGAGGAGGCCACAGATCTGACTCTGCTTAAAGCCCAGCCCAGGATCAGATATGTGCTTTACTGGACATTATTCAGACATTACTTTTTCAACATCACCATTTTTAAATGATTTGGTATTGAACTAGTACAATGAACTATGCCCTTGGCCTAGGTACTTTACAAATAGCATCTCTCATTTGGTGACTGCCTTTTCTCATCATCCAAGTGAGGCACTGAAGGACCAGAGAAATAAGTGGCTTGCCCAAGACCACACATGATGTAGAGCTGATAGCCCAGATTTGAATCTCAGGTTTTCAGATTCCAAGCCACACCTCCATAACTTTCACAGAAGTTCTTTCTCTGAGTTAAGCACACAGGTTTGCCTCATAAAGAGATTGGGCACAGAAGAGCATGGAAGTAGTGTTAACTTGCACAGAGTTCAGTATTTGGTGATATGAGCAGGAGTACATTGGTGAAACAAAACTAAGTTTTTTTTCTCCCTTGTTCATTAGTACTTATCTTATAAAAGTAATGTATGCTTGGGAAATTAAAACACAAGTATATAAGAAAAGGGAAAAGACGATTTTCTCCTTTTTCATATCTACTGAGACTGTAGGGATTAAGATTATTAAAATGATGTGGTCAAAAGTTTTTCTGAAGTATGATTAATTTTAAAAAGTTAATTAAAAATAAAACTTACAGTAATGTTGGTTTAAGAAAAACTAGAGTGTGACAATTAAAGTAGATGTTTTGTTCTTTGTTTTAATTATTGGTGTTTATTGTAGGTCACTGTTCATCATGTTAGATAGCCTTAACAGTCTCGATGGTTCTACCAGCTCTGTGGGACAAGCCTGGCTGAACCAAGTGCTACAAAGACATGATATTGCAAGAGTTTTGGAACCATTGCTATTGCTCCTGCTTCATCCCAAAACTCAGAGGGTTTCAGTGCAGCGTGTACAAGCAGAACGCTATTGGAATAAGGCTCCCTATTATCCCGGAGAAGAGAGTGACAAGCATTTCATGCAAAATTTTGCCTGCAGCAATGGTGAATATCACATGGAAGTAGAACAGCTTTATTTAGAATTAAGTTATTAAAATGAAATGAGAAGTGAACACAATAGTGATTGGCAGCAGTGAGGTTTTCTCCATGGACTTCTTTTCTCCCGTCCATGTGTACTGGCAGTGCTCACATGGGCCCATGCCAGAATGTACTTCATCAATGGTCATCTTAGAGGACTTGGATTTCTCTTATCAGTTGACTCTTTGAAGGAAGGAGTCAGCACAACTTTCAGAGACAGTCTTCAATTTTGATGGAAATACCTTTAGAGTTTAATGAGCAATTTTGGTTTTGTGAGGTTCTAGAGATACTTCACTGAGAATATATAAAAAGCTTGTAATGCCCATTTGTATTTCATGAGTCATTTTCCTCATCTGTGAAATGGGAATAGTAGTACCCACCTTTCCAGGCTTCATTGTGAACATAACACGTAGTCCTGTTTGTGACTGCAAACAAATGCCTACAAATGTTTAGGGCAGACTGGCCTATCATAAGTGTTAGTTAGATGTTCACTATTATTACTTGGAAGTCCACATTTTACAAATTGTCGAGTGAGGACATCTACAATACGGTGATAATGGGTCCTTAGATTAACTTATTATACTTTAGGGACAAAAGATTCTCACAAAACTCATTCATATCTTGACAAATAATCCTGTGAGGTCAGTAATAAAAAGGCCATTTTACTGAGCAGGTAGAGATGCTTAGCTGGCCAGGGCTTTCTCAAAGTCTCATGGCTGCTGTGTGATGAAGCTGCAGCTACACTGTCATGCCCCCATTTCATCTTTAATGTGTTTCTACAGAGTATGGACAGAGCCCTCTATAGAGCCTGACTTTCCACTGCTTCCCCTGAGTCTTCTCAGAGCATGTTCTACCCTGCCTATTGCCTGAACTTCTTTCTGCTAGCCCTTTACCCGCTGCCATTCCTGCCTGTCTGCTGAATTCTCACCTTTCCTCCGATATTGATCTCCTTACCTGTAGGGTCATGATGCTTTCCCTGAATTCTATAACATTTGCTTTGTAATACTCATATGGAACTAAGCCTTTTGCTCTTTCTTAAAAGAATGCCATCAGCACTGTATGCTCTCCAAAAAGTACAGAAATGGATGAATATATTTGTGATCCCCTACCAAGTTCAAACTCTAGAGAGAACAATGATGTCTTTTCCTTCTCTCACCCTCATTGTCTCTTGATTTAGGGCCTTACTTATAATTCATAAATGTTGAATATTGATAATGTTGATAATTTGTAAATATTGAATTTTATTGAAATCAAGCTTATATATGTCTGTGTATATATAGACATATATGTATGTGTGTATATATATACATATCAACTACTGAAGTATTTGAATTCTTAGAAATAATTAAGGGAAATATTACACAGGGAGGAAAAAATAAAATTTTGGACTGCAGTAAAAAAAAAAAAGATACCTTATTTGGGAGTAAGGGCAAATTTCGATATTGTAGCTGTTTTTAATGTGTTGTTTTATTTAATTCAATTAAATAATACTCCTTCTATTGTTGAGTTGTCTTTACTAAATTCTAGTTAATAGTCATCTACATAATTTTCTAACTTAAAGGGTCTAAAATAGTAACAAAATGTAATTTTCGTAGGAAGGTATAAGGTGATGAAGCTAATGATTAAGAATCTTGAGTTCAGTCTACATTTCAATCATTTTAATGTATTTTATCTTTTTCCTTCTTTACTATTTTTCTCATATGCCAGTAAGCCAAGTACAACTCATTGCATCTAAAGGAAGTGGTGAAAAGCCACTCACTATGGACGAAATAGAGAACTTTAGTCTCACTGTTAATCCATTGAGTGACAGACTTTCCCTTCTAAGTACCAGCAGTGAGACAATTCCAATGGTTGTATCTGATTTTGATCTTCCAGACCAACAGATAGAAGTACTTCAGAGTTCCGACTCTGGATGCTCACAGTCCTCTGCTGGGGACAACTTGAGTTACGAAGTAGATCCTGAAAATGTGAACGCCCAAGAAGATTCTCAAGTGCCAGGTGCAAGCTCCCCAGATGATGATGTTCAGCAGGTAGTGTTTGACCTGATATGTAAAGTCGTAAGTGGCCTCGAAGCAGAATCTGCATCATTGACATCTCAGTTAGAAATGGAAGCTGTGCCCCCAGAGCACAGTGATGTAGGTCCAGGCGAGGAGGCCCTTAAAACTGACGAGCAGTCTGCTCCACAGGGTCAGAGTGCTTTGCTGAGTAACGACAGTTCTCAGTTGCTGGCTGTGTCTGCAGAGGGAGGCCGTGAGTGTGTGGCAAATGGAATCTCCAGAAATAGTTCCTCACCTTGTATTTCAGGAACCACACAGATTCTCCAGGACTCTAATGTTGCTTCCATAGAAACTAAATCCAGGCAGAGGAGTCACAGCAGTATTCAGTTCAGCTTCAAAGAAAAATTATCAGAAAAAGTCTCCGAGAAAGAGACCATTGTTAAGGAGTCAGGTAAACAACCGGGAGCAAAACCTAAAGTAAAACTTGCCAGAAAAAAGGATGACGACAAGAAAAAAGCTTCAAATGAAAAACTCAAACAAACCAGTGTATTCTTCAGCGATGGTCTGGATTTAGAGAACTGGTACAGCTGTGGAGAAGGAGAGATTTCTGAAATTGAGAGTGATATGGGTTCTCCAGGATCACGGAAATCTCCCCATTTCAACATCCACCCACTCTATCAGCATGTGCTTCTTTATCTCCAGTTGTATGATTCATCAAGGACTCTGTATGCTTTTTCTGCCATCAAAGCCATCTTGAAAACTAACCCTATTACTTTTGTAAATGCCATTTCAACCACTAGTGTAAATAATGCATATACCCCTCAGTTGTCTCTGCTTCAGAATCTCTTGGCCAGACACCGGATTTCTGTTATGGGCAAAGACTTTTATAGTCACATTCCAGTAGACTCTAATCATAACTTCCGGAGTTCTATGTATATAGAAATTCTTATTTCCCTCTGCTTATATTACATGAGAAGCCATTACCCAACTCACGTCAAGGTCACTGCACAAGATTTAATAGGCAATCGAAACATGCAGATGATGAGCATAGAAATTTTGACACTTCTCTTTACTGAGCTGGCAAAAGTAATAGAAAGCTCAGCAAAGGGTTTCCCTAGTTTTATCTCTGACATGTTATCTAAGTGCAAAGTTCAGAAAGTGATTCTTCACTGTTTGCTGTCATCTATCTTTAGTGCACAGAAATGGCATAGTGAGAAAATGGCAGGTAAAAACATGGTTGCCGTGGAAGAAGGTTTCTCAGAAGACAGCCTTATCAATTTCTCAGAGGATGAATTTGACAATGGCAGCACACTCCAGTCACAGCTTCTTAAAGTGCTTCAGAGGCTCATTGTTCTAGAACACCGGGTAATGACTATCCCCGAAGAGAATGAAACGGGTTTCGATTTTGTCGTATCTGACCTGGAACACATCAATCCCCATCAGCCCATGACTTCTCTTCAGTATTTGCATGCTCAGCCAATTACATGTCAAGGCATGTTCCTCTGTGCAGTAATACGAGCTTTGCATCAACACTGTGCTTGTAAGATGCACCCACAGTGGATTGGTTTAATCACATCTACTCTGCCTTACATGGGAAAAGTTCTACAGAGAGTGGTTGTTTCTGTGACACTACAGCTTTGCAGAAATTTAGATAATCTAATTCAGCAGTACAAATATGAAACAGGATTATCTGATAGTAGGTAAGCATTGATTTTTAACTTTATATGGACATTTTTCACATTAGGACTACTTAATCATCCAGAAAGTCCGTTATAATTTGAGGACCTAAATTAATGGTATCAATAGGTTACAAATAGTATATTATTTTCACGAAGAAGGAAACTCACCCTGAGGAAGAGTGTCAGTAAAAGAATTAAGTATGGAAAGAAGGAGGAAGATTTAAAGAGGCCTTTTTTCTCCTAAGGGAAGAAACATTAACTTAGAAACATTAATTTGAACGAGCTGGCGAAAATAATACAAAGCCCAGCAAAGGGTTTCCCTAGTTTTATATGATAAATTATCTAAGTAGAAATTAATTGCACACTAAAATTAATTTTAAATTAAAAATAATTGCTTTCCTGTCTGATTTTATTTCTTGTTTCTGATCTTCATGGTTTAGTGGTGAATTCCACCTGTATCCCCGTGTTCAATTAGTCTGTCAGAAATTAGTCACATGTTTCATTGACTAGTATTTATTTAATCTCCTATATAACCTTAGCTATTACATGTAAAATATAAGAAAATTGCCTTTATCAGTTAATATTGATATGCCTGCTGTTACACAGTTGCTAGAGATTTACTAGCTACATTTATTTGCTTCATATTGAATTTGTTTAGCCAAAGAACTCTAGTACAACTCACTCACTTCATAGATTGGGATGTAAAAGCTTCTAATTTATGCTCTTAGTCATTTATTTATGTAATCTTTATTGAGCACCTACTCTGTGCCTAGCACATCCTGGACATTTACCATTGATTAAAACATGAATTTGTCTTTCACAGAACTTGTGTTCAACTTAGTACATTTTATTTCAGGCCTCTGTGGATGGCATCAATCATTCCACCAGATATGATTCTTACTCTTTTAGAAGGGATCACAGCCATTATTCATTACTGTTTGTTGGATCCTACTACTCAGTATCACCAAGTAAGACTGCACAAGTATTTGATTCCTTTTTCAAGACTGAGGTCTAGTAAGTAGCCACTTATAAACTTCAGTAAGTGATATGTATTTTTCCCCTGACTTTAATAGCTTTTGGTCAACGTAGACCAAAAACACTTGTTTGAAGCCCGCAGTGGAATCCTCTCCATCCTTCACATGATCATGTCCTCTGTGACTTTGCTCTGGAGCATCCTGCATCAGGCTGATTCCTCAGAAAAGATGACTGTTGCTGCCTCTGCGTCTGTCACCACTATTAATCTTGGAGCCACAAAGGTTAGACAATTCACTTCACACTTCATCTGTGGAGCTCAAGAGAACATTCAAGGACTTTCCTTTTTTTTTTTTTTTTTTT